GGCGCAGGTACCAATTCCCTCTTTAGCGTCGTTGCTTTCATTTACTAACTTTGAAACCGACGCCCTTCTCAAATCCGCATTGCTACTGACTAATTTAGGAAAATCTGCGTTAGAGGATGCTGCTTCTGTTAAAGTAGATTCCAACTTTTCAGACTGCAGCAGACCCTGTTTTGTGTTTTGGTCTTGATCTTCCACAGGTTCCCCAAACGGTGCTCCACAAAGAGACACAACGCAGAGTAGTGCACTTGTGATCCTGTATGTGCCCCTCCATCCAAACGTATCCAGCGAGAGCTGTAGAAAGGGGCCCATAACGAGGACCCCGATGCTGCCCCCTACTGAAACGACCCCTACAGCAAGAGATTGGTACTTGCGGAAGTTTCTTGCCGTTATAAGAAAAGAAGCCATAAATATTAACGAAGATCCTAATCCGAACAGAAAACTGTAGGTGATAAACATCAACAGAAAACTGCAGGAATACGAAGTTAACAACAACCCCACTGCACATGTCAGACTCCCGGCAATGGCGGTGAGGCGGCACCCAATAGTGTTGCAAAGAAGTGATCCCATGGGACATAGGAAAAAGGCGAAAGCAATGGTCAGGGATCCAAGCCAAACTGAAATTATAGACAGTTTCTGTTAGCACATGTTTCACTCTGTTTGAGTCGTTGAGGTGTGACATTTAATTGATAAGACCCGGAGATGCAAACCTAAAATAAATCGATATCCTGAAGACCGCTAATTTTAACTTCTCGACCCTAAAAAAAAAAGAGCTCCGCCGATTCAATTACAAAAATGCGTCAAATGTTCACAAATTTTCTACCGAAAATGCCAAAAATCAGCCGAATGTACTTTAAACGTTTTTCTTCGTATTCGAAAAATTTGGTGACCCTTACAGAAGACTGTGATTCGTTCTGCCGTAGCTATTATTAAATTTATTTTAATTATGTTTCTGAACTAGCGTGAGCCCAGGCGGGAGCTTGAGGAAAATTGTTGGAGTTCTTTGTTTTTATGCACTTCATAACTCGTCTGTGTTGTTCCGTCCTAAATGGTCTTTTTTAAATGTTTTTTTAATAAACGTTTTCTATAGTGGATGAAAGATCAGATATAGACCGTTTTCACTCACGTGACCAGCAGCCATGCCAATTTATTGGAACAAAAGAAAGTGTTTACACAAGAAAAGAGTTCAACTCCCACAGGATTGGTTTGGTACTCCAAGATGGCCGCAATTTCATATTTTTGGAACACCAATATGGCTGTCGTGACGTCATGTGAAAATGCTCCATAAGTA